GGCCATGAAGTTAACTGTGAATAGTTTAGGAAGGGAAAGGAAGAATAGATAACAGCAGAATTCTACTGTAATGCAGTGGGAAACATTTAGAATTTTCTGTGTCAGCTCAAGGCATTTAGTACAGACCACATAATCACCATTGCCATTTGAAGGCCACTGCTTGCATATACAAACAAACCATAAACCACTCCCAAAAAATTTTTTTTGAACACCAGGATAATATCAAACTAAAAGCTGTTTAATATAAATGCTGAGCTTTCGTCGGCCAGCACTGCCGACATCATCAGAGCATAAAAGCAAGTTAATGGGAGTTCTCTTTATGTTACCGGCTGGCTTTGCGCCCGGCTTTTCGACCTAATCATTGGTCCACTTGATGTCTCTAATTGTTTTGTTTTTAAAGGGCACGCGTTTGCTGCTCCCTTGGTAGTTTCCAAAACTGCTTTTCCCTTTTCCCCTTTCCTCCCTCCAATCACTTTCCTCGTATGCATCCAGCTGTCTGCTGCCACCCCGTTGGTTTCTGAAGTTGCTGTTCTCCCTCCCCCTTTCTCCCCCCTATCGCTCTCCTCGTATGCATCCAGCTGTCTGCTGCTACAGCATTGGTTTCCGAAGTTGTTGTTCTCTCTTCCCCCTTTCTCCCCCTAATTGCTTTCCTCGTATGCATCCAGCTGTCACATTGTGCCAAGCACTTTCGCTCGTTCTCCTCCCTCACTTCTATCCAGGGGCATGTCTGTTCTTCCCTTGTGGGGCTGTCAGCAGGTTGTGCGTTCAGCGCAGTCTTCTTGCTTTTTCGTCCTGTCACTCCTGTGCAGGCGTTCACGGGCTGGTCTGTCAGGCGGGTCCGGGTGTTCATCCAGGAAGCCTCCAACAAGCATGTCTCTGCATCTGCTCTTCTGTTTGGGAGTGCTGTTCCTTTTGGGGGGGTACACCCGGGTGTATTGGAGATCTCCTTCCAGCCGCTCACTCTCATCCTCCTTTCTCTTTCCCACCACTCGCGATCCTCGCGCCTCCATCATTAGGTTGTCTGCAAGGTGCGCATTGAATTCTGCTCCACCATTTGACAACTCTCTTGCTTTTCTTGCTCACGTGCAAGCTCCCAAGGGGTGATCTACTATCAATCGCTCACAGGCACCCGTTACGAGGTCACCAATAGGATGTGGCATCACTTCTATCTCGCTTTCTCCTATCGTTGTGAGGTGGATTGGGGTGCATGTACTTAGGGTGTCTGTGGGGTACATTTCTCGTGTCCCTTCTTCTGTTCCACCTGTGGGGTGTGTTGTCAATCCATTGTTTCATTGGCAAGTTGTTCCCTCCATCGTTGCATCTCTCCGCCCTTGCAACGGGTCGATAGGTTGCCTTCATTGGGAATTGTGATGTTGTCTTTCCCATGTGCTCAGCGTTTGGTATGCTGGGCAGAGTTCTATGTGGCAGTTTATGGAGTTCCCATCGGAGAGCCAGGCCTCCTTGAGTAGGTGGCCTCCCTTGGTGGTATCCCTAGACATAGTTTGTGCATTGGCAAGATCGAACCTGTGGCCAAAATTGGCCATGTGGGTCCACACCTGCGAAAGTTGTTCATGTTGTTCATATATATATATATATCCTTAATAATACTAAAATACTTAATAATACTAAAAATGCGAATCCTGGGCATCATAATACAAATTAAAAGAAAAGCGAACACCAGGATAAAATAACCAGATAGTTTAATGCAAACAAGCCTGTAAATAAAAAGTCACTAAGCTTTCATCCGGCCAAACTGCCACCGTCATCAGAGTTGGAAGACAACCATCGGGGCCATGGGCAGGTTGCCAGGTCCGGAGCAACTCGACGCATTATGGTCAAGCATAATTAATGGGCCTGTGATGTACTTGAGAAGCCAGGCGCAGAGGCAGGCGGTTACATAAATCGGCTCCCAGATCTCCTTTTATTCCAACTCAGATGATGGCGGCAGTTTGGCGGGATGAAAGCTTAGTGACTTTTTATTTACAGGCTTGTTTGCATTAAATGGTCTGGTTATTTTATCCTGGTGTTCGCTTTTCTTTTAATTTATATATATATATATTGCAGCTATCAAGGACGTATATGTATATGTATATATGTATATTTGTTTTCTGAGGTTTTCGTGGGTGTTTGTATATAGGTCTTTAGTTATTCGGGTTTTCTCCCGCGTAGAATTAGAAGTATATATATATACGTATATATATATACGTATATATATATATGTAGGTCTTTAGTTATTCGGGTTTTCTCCCGCGTAGAATTAGAAGCGTCTTGGTGACGTTTCGACGAAGTCACATTCGTCATCTTCAGGCTGGTGTCTTCACTTTCCTGCTTCTGGGAGTAGCTTACTTTATATATATAAAGTAAGCTGTGAATCCAAGAGGATCCCCTCAAGTTAGGTACCGGGTCTGAGGTAGTGCAACCCTATATAGGACCAACATTCCTAAATACATAGGGCCTATCCACAGCCACTATGTCTTGCTAGAGTTCAGTTGAAGTGTGTTGTTTCCAATCTAGACTCCCACAGCCTCCTGGCACTGTGAAAGGATGCCCACTCATCCATCCTCTTCACCCAGGATGGAAATATATAGCAGGGTATCATCAGCTTATTGGTGATACCTTGTCTCATGGTGATGGATGACCTTGCCAAGCAGTTTCATGTAGACGTTAAAAAGGAGCAGAGAGAGCCCTGGGCCCTGTGGCAGCCCACAAAGGAGGGGCTGTGAGCTGGACCTATTAACATTGATTGGGACCAGCCTTGGAGGATGGAGGTGAACCAGCACAAAACTGTACTACTCACCCCCAACTCCTTAAGTCGACCTAAAAGGACGCCATGATTGATGGAATTGAAAGCCACTGACAGATCAAGAAGACCAAGGATGGATGTGACCAATGGAGTTTTGGTCCCATATCTGGGGGCCTGAAACCTGACTGAAACCTGACTGAAAGGGGTCCGGATGCAAAATGTGGGCCTGAAACCTGACTGAAAGGGGTCCGGATGCAAAATGTGGCTTATAGATTAGGCAAGAAACACAAAAACAAAACAGGTGCTATAATGGCAGAGTTAAATCAAGACAAAGTGCAAAAACAAAACAAAACACCAATTTTTGCTGTTCCATTACAAAGGCACCATAATGATATTGATAAAAGCTTAAAGAAAATTAAAGATTGAGAACAACTGGCCTGAGCTGAGCAAGAAGATGCACAAGGGAATTCTGAGTTATGACTAAAACTGTGGCTTTAATTAGGCCCTGCTGTAATGTACAAAGAACTATTAAAATCAACAGAAAGATTGTGAACACTCGTTTAACATTTTATGAAACGTTTCCAGAGTTTTCTTTTTCTGGGGGAGGAACTGACTTAGTGTTAAATCCAAATGCCTAAGGATTCTGCAGCATAGAGCTATTTATTGTTCTACAGATTTAAGCTTGCTTTTGAGCATTAAAAATCAAAGCAGACTGAAAGTTTAATTTTAAAAAGCTCAACCTCCCTCCCCAAATTGCATGCAGTATATAAGAAATGAAGATAACAAATAAGATAATAAACTAATAGCAGGAGATAAAAACATAAGTAAATCTACAGATACTAAAATTAAGCAAGTATAGTCAAGAATATACTCTTTTAATTGTCATGAAGGCCAGCCAACAACTTATGGTAAGAATGTTTCACAAAAAGGACTGGCAAAGGAAATGCTTCCCTGGATAATGTCTTCTTAAACTCACATCCTTTACCAGAGAACCAAAAATTGGGGCTCAGATGCTGATTTTAAAGATAAGTAGAAGTTCCATTGTTATTATTCTAAATACAGGAAAACTTCAAAATTCTACACAAGACTCCATTCTTGCCACTCATTAATTCAAAGGATCACAGCTTATTAATTGGAAACTGACATTAGTACCAGAAAAAAATCATCAACTTGCTAATTGGTCTCAGAGTATAGAAGACAGGTGAAGTAGCAAATTTTCCTTTATTATAGACTCTTATCACATATGACTGGAAGTCACAAATGGCAATGTCCAGCCCAAACTGGGCTGTAAGACCACAAAGCATGATTCCTTTGCTATAAAATGTTGAAACGGAACTTTAGTTTCATCTTGTTCAAATCTCTCAGTGACATCAGAGCATCCTGATTATAAAAAGAATTGTAGAAATGCCTGAAATGAATCCATTATATTTTAACTCACTCAAGCTTTCTTTATTTTCATTTTGCATCAAGTATTGTTATTTTAGACACTACATAAAATATGTACATTTTTTTATCTATTCCTCCTAAAATTCATTTTTTCCAATTTATGACATTGCAGGATAGTCACGTCATTTTCATATGATTCAGCGTACAACTTTGTGGTTTTGTGCAAGGCACAAGGCTGTTTGTTGGCTTGGCCAATTAAAAATATTTAATATAATTCATGATCTGCTGAGATCATAGAACAGCTCAGCTAATGAGAAACAAAAAATTATTTTGGGGGCAACAAACCATATATTGGACAGGTTTTGATGAAACAGCTTAAAATAAGCAGCTGGTGAACCACAACTAGCAAATGTTTATAAAATTAATCCCATTTTTCTTTAAATTAGTGCTGTAATATATTTTGCTACTTCACAATTTCTGCTTAATAGTAATTTATAAAATAAGTACCATTTTACAGTACTTATTTTAATTCCAGTTTTTTAAAATGTTTTTTCAACGTATTAAGCTATTTTTGTCAAAGCCTTTGCATTATCTAAGCAAACCAATACATTAACACCTTGTTATTGTTATTTAAAACTTGGTTTCAAAGAATTTTGACATCTTTACTCCTTGATTTTATTCATCTGTCCAATGTTATGAAATAAAAACTCAAAAATTTCTATTTTAACAATTGGTAAAATATTTTTGTAATGGCAGAAAAGAACAATTAGGCATCTTGAAGAAGAAAAGATCTTATATACCTATGCAAGAAAAACAACCTTTTAAGTCCCTGTAATTCCACAAATCCATCAGATTGTATTTACGTTCTCACCTGCTGGGTAGCGTTCTATAACCGGCCAGTTGTCCACCTGTAATGTGGCATTACCACCACTTCTTGTAAAACGTACTACATGGTATTTCCCATCATTAATGATTGCGTTGACTTCTTCAATTGCGATATCATCTGTTCCAACATTAAATTTAACACCAATTTTTCCTTGATGCTGTAAGAAAAGTCAGAAATAATAGAAGATATTAGTAGTTATTTTAAAAAATTACTCTACACATTGAGTTGCAGTGTTTTAGCTAGTTTACTCTTTGAAAGGATACTTTCTTCTCAGATTTAACCTTCAGAAGAATAGCATAGGTAACATTGATCTTCCTCAAAAGTCCTATACAATTTTCATCCCTTCTACTATTGTCAGCTTCCTTATAGAAGAGATCCCTGAAGGGTAAGGGAAGAAATTACATGAGCACTGTTAAAGAAATCTGCTCAAATTGACTTTTCACTACGTCTCTGTGGGAATAATCCTAGAATTGCAATATCCCAAATAAAATCCAGGAACCAACAGAATGATCAACTTTAGAATTCTCAATCAGTATTTCATTGTAGTATAGTCTTGTGTTGAATAATATTGATGAGGCAGATACTGCTTTATATGACAGCTAGAAGATGGAGTTATTATAGATATTATTCAATGTAGCAAATAGAAATTTACCAACCACCTGAACTAAGGAAAGAACAGCCCCTAATCTGAAATATCAGAAGGACAAACTGATTTCAGCTTTAATAAGACCCACTTCACATAAAATTGTAGTAGTATTATTGGCAATTAAGTAGTTTTATCTATTCAAAGCACTACCATGTCTTTCAAGCAACAATTCACTCCAAATATTCTTATCTATTTTAATTATTATGGAAAAGGACTCATAACTGGGAATTTACTGCTTAATGAGTAGTTTACTGCTTAATGAGTAGTTTACTGCTTAATGAGTAGTTTGTTCATTTAAAATATAGACTAAAGTAATTATTGATTTTGTTTCCATCAAAGATAAACAAAATGCTCTTTTTCTGAAGCAATATTGAAAAGTGAAAAGAAAAAAGCAGAAAGTAATAGTACTAGCAGTAATAATAATAGTTAATAGTAGAACAACTAGATAAATAAATATACAGTAACTGCTGCGTCTTTTGAAAAGCTCCTAGGTTTAAAAACAAGTAGAAAATCACTTATTTGAGAATAATTTCTCAATTTCTCAATACAATTTTTTGCATCCTCCTGATCTGTTTTTTTAATTATACAATCTTGTATCACTTTTCATACTAGATTTCAGATCTATGCAGTGGTGGGATTCAGCCGATGCACACCACTTTGGCAGAACCGGTAGCTAATTTTTTGTTGCCCAGGCCCAGAATGGACTTCCGGAAGCAGCAGCCACCCAGAGAACCGGTTGTTCATATATTTGAATCCCACTACTGGATCTATGTTGAAAAACTTCCTCAAAGAAGCATTAACAACTTCAATGCTTCCTACTAGCAGCCTTAATTGTAAGATTAGGCTGAAGATGGGGATGTGCATATTTGACTATATCTCTTAGTTAAACATAACACTGTAGATTTGTTGAGTGGATTGCATAGACTTCCTTATCACATACAAACTGCAACCACAGAGTACAGCTAGAATTATCCCCAGGGAGACTGGCTAAGTTCAGAATCACTATCTTGCCTTGGGATTTAATTTGAGAATAACTGCATAGAGCCTAAGGAGTTTATGAGGATTTTTATTGACCTGGAATATAATATTACTGGGGGTAGGTTGGAGTAGGGGGTCACCCATTCTTCCTCCATGAGGGGAAAAAATAATTTAAAAGAAAAGACATTTTAAAACATGTTTAAGAAAGATGACAGCAAAAACAAGACTAATTTTTTTCTAAGTAAACAAATTCCAAAGCAAAAATGTTAGAGATTGTGGATTCTTCTAAACTGTTTCAGCAACTGAAGTGACAAATTGTGCAATTCATGTGTTTTAATCACCCTCTTACTCTGCTATTCATATTCATCAGAAAAAGTAAAACAAACAAACAAAAAATGTAATTGCTCTGGCACTGTAAGCAATCACCTCTTTTCACAAATTATTAAATATTTAAGAACTTCCCCAGAGGCATGTGACTATAAAGTACATATACTTTATTCAACTTTTTCTGCTCCAAAATCAAATGCTTTGAAATCCATTCAATTTTGATGATGCTCTTTTATTTCAGTATTCATCCATATCTTTCCTACTTGCTTCTACTTGCTCCTATATAACATTTTATAAACAGAGAAAAAGAAGCAAAACACCTTTAAAAAATTAAGCAGGTGCATGCAAATTATAGTAACTAGATGCATTTACATGTTTTTATGTGGCAGAATTCTCTACTTCAAAAAACTAGCAACACAAAGGACAATATTGAACATCACAGGAAGATTAAAAATGCACATGAATGCAAGAGAGCAGAAGGCATGGAAACTTTCTCTATGTTTCTCTGGCACAGTTTTCATTTATTTGTCACCATATGATTCTGACAATGCAAAACTGTGTATCAATATAGCCATTCTATGGTCAGTCCTTTAAGCATGTGCTAGAACTGTAGCCATATTAACCATTTAGTAATTATATACTGAACAAGATGACAATTCTGTTATATAGCCAATCAGATTGACTATACTTTGTTGTTGTTAATTGCAAAGTCGTGTCCGACCCATCGCGACCCCATTGACTATACTAGAAGAGTGTAAATAGAAGTCTCCTATGATTTGAGTCCTGTTATCACTTCTCCAGCACTGAACTAGAAAGGTAGGAATAAAATTGGTGTTATTATGAGGGTGTAATGTCCCCATTCTGTCTGGACAACTAACTCTTTGTAACTTTCTGCATTACAGCTGCAATGCCTGAAAAAAGGGAGTATCTCCAGGTTACTTAAGGATATATTCCCTTTCATCGACACTGTGAGCCAAAACATTACCTCAGTTCTCAGTGCTCAAAGCATTATCAAGTGGAGGGCTCTTTCTCAGCCTATATAAGATCAGATAAATGTATGTTTCAGAAGTAAATTTCAACCCAAATATCTAATTTTTAAAGAAATCTGACAATTCTTTAAGAAAGCTGAGCATTTCAGAGGATGTTTTTGAATGTCTTAATAACAAACTGTGCAGCAAGTCACTACAGCGGAACCTGCTACCTTTGAATAGATGTATTCTTGCCATCCTCCTATACCATCTTTGCACAAAGGTCCACCCTAATTGAAATCAGGGATTCAAAATTCACAAGGATTTTTCACTTGTGTTGGGCTCTCACAAGGCTAAAATTTTAGGCATATATGAATGGCACCACATTTTATTGTAAAGCATAGTATTAAACTTTGAAGAGAACTTTAAAAACCCTCAACCAAAAATTATGTTAATACATCCACTGCTTCTGTATTTAGAGTACATTGGTATTTATAATACAATTCAATATCAAGATTGTTTAACATCAAATCTCTCTCTTTGTAATGTGTTTTAAAAGAAACTTAGTTATACAGTCAAGAACTATCACTGAAAGACTGTAAGATGTTCTACAACTGATAGTTCAGTTATCATTTAAAGCTATTCAATATAGTTACCGTTATATGGAAATTTCATTAAAATTTGCATGTAAAAAACCGTATAAACAGAGATAGGATCTAAGAAGCAGTGTTCTGTTTTGGTCTTTTCTTTCTGGAATTTGATCCAAAATCAAATTTAATTACAGAAAAGCTACTTTAATGAACCAAAGAAGTCCTGGAACTCTATTATGTTCCTTCAATATTAAGAATAAAGGAGAATATCTTCCCTTTTGGTGAGAAAATCTAAGCAGCTCAAAATATACTTGTCATGTAAAAATACATGAAAAACAAATCTAAAGTTGATGGCCAGATGGGGTGTACTGATCAAATGTATCACTGTTGTTTTTTTCTTCTAATCAAGAAAATGTAAGAATTTGACTTCAAAACATTACAATTCAAAATGATCATTTTGAATCTCATCCTGGAAAAGAACTTGGCTGTTTTGAAAGTTCTGACCTGCAACTGACCTATTGTTTTGTGAGTTGTGATTTGATAAGCCTTTCTCGAACTTTTTTCCCAATCTAATCAGTATAAAGTATGTCTTTGCTGCAAATAAGATTTAGATTCTGATTGTGAAGTGTTGAAGGCAAAACTGCATTAAAGCACTTGGTCACATGGGGAAGTGCTCTACCTGTCTGCCTGGTAAGTTACAACCATTTGATCTTAATTAACTAAGAATGAATTAATCTAGAAGATGGATTTTATATATGTAGTACTTTATTTGGCAGGCATTAATGCAAAGGTATATGTATGTGCACATTTGGTTCCTCATACAGATGTTGCTGATGCTGCTTATATTATAAAGGCACAGATTTCCAAAACAATGTTGATGTAGAGTGGTTTTTAGAGTTTGGTGTTAATATAGTCTATGCATGTTCTTGTGCCTTACTGATACTAAGTAAGGCACAAGATACTAAATTTCTAGGATTTATTTAAGATGTAGAAATTATATTGGTTGGGATATTTTCTACAATTTTGATATGCACATTCTCTATGCATGTTCCAAGGATGGCAAATGACAAAATGTGCATTGTGAAGTACAAACACTGTTCTTTTTGTACTTGTGTTACAATGTTATGTGCAAGTCACAAAGTACTTTTTTCTCATTTTGTTGAAATTTCAGCTTGCTACAGACACCCAAGGGATACTGTTGTGCCTTGTTTTAATGTTATTCATGTAGTTAAGAAGCACCATCCCCTTTTATAGGCAGCCAGGGGCTATTCATATGTCCAAGCAGAAGGATCAGTAATGAGCACCCTAGTTGCTTTGTGCCTGGCAGGCAGGTTAAAAGAAAAAAAGCCAAATGTGTTGCATGATATTGCTAAGTAGGTAAGGTAGCAGTGCCTAGAGGGAAAAAAATGGCTAAGAAAATGATTTTAAAAAAGGAACATAAAGAAAACCATCACATAAGTAGAAGTACAATTTGTGCCTGCCTACTTATTTTGTCTTCTGGCTTGGAGAAGCATAATTGAAAGTAATGTGAAAGAAATGGATTCTTTTACTCTACATGATGCAACCAAGTTCTCTAGGGAAGATGGAAGGAAAGAGGAGATGAGAACGAAGAGCAGCAAAGTGGATGGACTCAGTTACAGGAATATGA